TATTTCATGGAAAGTGTCACGTCCGCAATATTTTTAAAACTTGTCCAAATCACCCTTGTACAAATCATGAACATTTTTACACTTATAGATTGGTGTGGTACACGAGATTGCTAGAACCATACCTGACGCCTCCCCACCACATGCACACCGACCAACCGCATGCCGCAACCACTGACGGAGACTTCATCATAAAGGTAGGATATTTTTACTTTATCACATTTGCGCGGACCATGAATTCTGTTTGCGCGTAGCATGTGTCCGGTGCATGTGTCCTGCGTTCGCGCCCGCCTATCGGCCCTCGTCTGTTGAAACTAACCTTTACACCACGTGGATACGCATGTTGCGTATCTTCATTATTCTTTCAAAAAAGAAAACAGCGAGACTAAATGTCCAGAGTGCTACACCTCTTTACCTGTCGATGAAAAGGAGAATTATCTTGGGGTATTGTGACATTACATCCATTTAGGGTTTTCCGAGATTTGCAACGAGTGTTCCGTGTCGTTGGTCACCATACGTAATTACACGGGTTGTTTTGGAAGTTTCTCAGTTACCTAGACAGGATGGGGGATACACCTTGGACCTCCACGGAATCGAGTATCGTCTTTGTGTCGAGCGCGCAAATCTAGTTGAAACCTTGAACTTTCAAATTGGACAATTTTCAATTCCCCGCTCCCGCCGACGCGAAACTGTACACCTTGCACCCACCGATAATCCCAGATCTGTTCGGATCCTGACCGCCCGCCGATCGAACTCTGAGATGTAACAAAAGGAAGAAAACGGAAGACTTTTGGTTTATTTTCTTATGCATTATGTGTTATGCATTATGCAAGAGTCTGTGCTCCCTGCTTTACGCTTAAAGCGTTGTAAGCGCCAAAGCGAATACAGTCCATAGTATAACCATGAACTACAAAATAATAAAGATACAATTTCATACAGTGAAGCTTCGCTGGCCAAGACCTCTCACTCCGCTGAAAACAAAGCCAGCATTGAAACGCTCTTCGCTGAAACCCCATATCCTTTTCATGGGTGAAGCTTTGTCCACTACTGCGCTGTGAATGAAAAAGTGTTTTGAAAGTTTTGAACTTAAACAAAAAAGTTTTCATGCATGAATATACAGGGTATTCCACACAGAAGGGCAGCTAAATATTTCGTGTACTGATACAGCGGCCATTTTGCAATTTTCATAATAGTTAACAAGATAATAGTTACTAGAGAGGAAGAGAGTGGCAAATTGCATTACGTGACTCGTCTCCTCTGATTGGGTATGGACATCAAAACTCTAATTGTATCGTGAATTGTATTCACGTGATGTAATTTGCCACTCTCTTCCTATGAGGCTCTCTATTAGTTACTAAAAATATTCAAATGTATATGATTAAACAAAACCTCCGATTGTTAAAAAAATTATTAAAAATTATTATTTTAAATTGTTTGTATTTCATACAAAAAGTTTTGAAGTATAATTAAAAAGATATGAGTCAGTCTATTAATTATATTCTTTTTTAGACCACTTGACTGAAATAATCAGCCGAATCTAAATTCAACAATGTTTATACATGGAATCGTTTGTATTTCGTTATGAAGTACCATTAAAAACATTTGTGAATCTTCCAGACATTTTTAAATAAAATTTTAAATAAATATTTAAATGTCATGTATTTGACCGAAATAAGATTTACGAAATAAGATTCCGCTACGGTCACGGAAATTCCGTTAAACATGGTCAGTAGTCTCTCTAGAGCTAGGTGCATCAAGATGTTTTATTATTCTTGTTTAATATTCGTAAACAAGGATAAAACGATATCTGGGTGCATGTGGACAACAATTCTGAACGCAGTCTAGTATTTTGGTACTTTTGGTTCTTTTCCGGTCATATCACTCAACAATGTTATTAGACGGGCCGAGTTTCAGACGCATGCGCGTCCAATGTAGCTTTAGTAACATACCAGTAACTAGTAAATAGGAGATCATTAGTCACCAATGTAAAATTTTTTCAAAAATGTTAAAAATTTTAATATATTTTACATATATATATGTATACATACATATGTAAAATATATTAAAATTTTTCAACCCTAAGCGATTGGACGCGTATGTGTCTGAAACCTGGCCCATCTAACAACACTACCACTCATAATAAAATTGCTCCGTTCAGTAGGAAAAGTAGCTTTAAAATCGCTAATTATACAGTTTAGCACAACCACCTCAAAAATTAAAATTAGGTTTATTCGATGCGTTTTTGCAAAATGAAAGAATTTGGCAGAAAAAAAGTTGCTCTGCTCTGCGAACCAAAATATTAAGTGTTAAAATTGACAATTATTGAAGTTAAGAAATCTATCATGTGAACAGTGGGATGTATAGACAGTAGTGCTTATTGGTCCGGGGTGGCGTAGCCACCCCGAACAAAAAAAACTAATATATCCTACCCGCTTTAAGCCTAATTGTCTAGAAGTTGTAGTCTAGACAGTAAAAACACTGTTCTAAAAAAACTGTTTACACTCCACTGTCTTCATATGTAAGAAATGGATAATCTCTCACCGCGACTATTGCGTCACTGCGCCACTTGTACTATTCGGTGCTACTCGTAGCCATCTCGATGCACTCGATACTCCTTAACAACGGCTGTGTTATAAAAGATAGACACGTCGTTGACTTTTGTTCCGATCATAGAAATGATCGTTGTATTGATTTGTCCATATTGTAAGATAGCTCTTTCAGTCATAGATTATAAGTTTTAGTTTTTGCGCCTCACTGGCGGCATTCCGATCAACCCGCCATTACGGCATACGATTGGCCGTGCCTTGTCATTGGTTCGTCGACAATACCCTTTCGGGATTGGGTGAATTGCGATAGTGGAGCAGAAGAGGAGAGATACGTAGCGATGCGTTTGTACAGGACATAGTCCGTTACCAGACTTACAATAAATACGATCTCAACAATGAATATCGTTGTACATGACGTTAAAGTTAGACGCCTTTTCCTTCCAAGGAGTTCTTAAAATTATCCCTCCTTCGGATTGATCCTGACAACATTCCGATTTTAGAAGTTATACACGTGTTCGTGTTGCTGTCTTACAATATTCTTTATTGAATTAAATCAGTTTTATCCGATAAATCTTTATCTACTTAATTATAAATAATTAGAAGAAAGCTAATCGTTGCCTTCCAAAAGAAGTCCTTTTAAAAACGTTCGCAAATCGAAGAATTTTTCACATGGGTTAGAAATATTCTAAGCGGACACAGTCTACGCTGCAACTTCTAGGCTAGATCTTAAGCGGGTAGAATGTTATTTATTTTTTGTTCGGGGTGGCGTAGCCGTCTCAAACCAATAAGCACTAGTCTATATACTCCACTGTCTACATGGTAGATTAATGATCGCGTTTCATACCCAGCAAATGAAAATGGATTTAAATAAATTGGATTCAGATTTTCAGAAATATTGATTCACGAATGTTAAAATGAATGCTTTTCAATCTTGAATGTATTTTTATTCATTTATAGGAATTGCATGGAGCATATCTCTATGCCTTTCAATCTAAAAATAATATTAGCTTTTTTTGGGTGTTGTGAATACTGTTTAATTCAAAATTTTGAATAAGAAATGCAGTTTTTTAAATCCAATTGCATCCAATTGGATCAAATTGAATCCAATTAAATCCAAAAAAAATATTCGCTATTTAAAATACGCATTCGTAGAATGCGATTCGTAGAATGGATAGAAAAAAATTTCAATCCATTTTAATCTATTCTAATTTTATTGATTTTTGAGGTAGTTGTGCTAAACTGTATAATTACCGATTCTTGAATACAATTATTTATATATTTACATCTGGCAAGAAGTGAGGGCAAAAACCAATTCTTTCTCGTGTTAAGGAATTTTACAACAGTAGTTTTAAGGGATAAAGCCATTCTAAAACTTCCAAAAAATTGATTTTTTTTTGCTTAAAAGGTGCCTAAGAATCTTAAGAATAAGAAATAATATCCATTATAGGGGGAAAAAGTTTGTAAGACCGGAATCAGACCATGCATTGAAGATTGAGATTAAAGATTAAAGTTTGAAATTTTACTAATAAAAACAAAGAAATTTTGGCTCCTTTTATTCTGATTGGTCAAACTTCAATCTTTCAATCCTCAATCTCATTCTTCAATGCGTAGTCTGATTCCGGGCTAAAAGCCCGTATTTTGAATCGCACCGCAGCACTCCGAGCAGCTGCGACAACTCAGTGCGGCGCGCTCCGATAAAGGTTGTATCTCTTGGGATAAAGAAATTATTAATTACCTGCAGATTTTAGAATATTTTTAAGCTTCGTAAGATGATCATAGATGGCTCTAAAAAATATACTACATAGAAAAATATTAGTGTAGCGTCAGTTCAGCCATTGAAGAATACGTTATTTGCACGACGCTTGGTTTTTTCTTCTGTATATTTATATGCATTTCGTTGTTTCTTTTCTATATATAAATTAACAGAAATTAACATTATAAGTGAGAATAAAGCAAATCGCGATCAAAAAGTATCTAAAAAAAGCAGTGGATTTTCAAAAAGACCGAAGGCATCAGATAAACGAATCGTTTTGAATTGGAGAGACGCCGATCTGAACGTCAGCACATCTGCAAAAAAACTGAAGTAATCTGAAAATTTATATGACGTTGAAGTAGATGATGCTTTTGGCTACCGTCTAATAAATTTTGTTCCTCTTTTTGCTGCTATTTCGAGTGTTATTATATGCAAAGAGTGCAAATTGAATGTGAAATTCAGTGAAAGTAATAAACGCGATTTAGGGGATTTAAAATAGTTATTACGATATCTGTGATAAAACGGAGGTGCCTAATTGCCCATTTGTTGATAAAAGTTATGAAATTAATCGCCGAATTATTCTTACAGTGCGATTGCTTGAAATTGGTCTACATGGAATAATAAAATATTGCGCCTTCATGGATCTTCCATGGCCGATTTTTCATTCATTTTATGATAAGATAGTATAATTTCTACTGCAACATAACATGTTTATAAAAAAAATATGAAGGATGCAGCATAAGAAGAAAAGGCTTTATCTATTGAAAAAGGTAAAGAGATGGAATAATTGTGTCAGGCGATGGAACGTGGAAAAATGCAATTTTTCGTCGCTGTTTGGTTTAGTTACTCTTATTGGTTGATATACCAGAAAAGTGGTCGATTTTGTTGTAAAATTGGAAAACTGCGAAAAATGTAAGCATTGAAAGAGAAAAAACAAAATACTGAAGAATATTTAGAATGGGCGACAAATCACCCAAGCGAATCACGAGGGATCGACTGTTAAGATGGAAATCAAAGCAGTTATTCAAATGTTCCAGCGCTCTGAAACTTTACATCAGATTAAATATGTGAACTATATTATATTGGAGATGGAGATTCAAAAACCTTCAAAGGTATTTAAATACTTAAGTATAAGCATAACGGTCAAAGCTAGATCTTCTAAAAGTCTAAATTATTCACAGTGAATTATCTATATCCTATATATGTATGCATATACACCATATTTTTGTAGTTATTCAAACTGCGCGTCGAAATTTTTCCGAACTTTATCAAATGTAATTAAACTACTGCAATATCAGTTCAAAAATATTCAAAAATATTATATTATCTCGGTTCAAGTCCCGGCCAAGGTAATATTTTTCGCAATAAACTTATTTAAAGTTTTTCAGCACATTAACATCCTTATAATATAATATCGGATCGAAGATTGAGAATTTGCTTGTCAATTTAATTTAACTTGTGATATTATTGCAGTAATTTAATTGCGTTTGATAAAGTCCGGAAAAATTTCGGCGCGCAGTTTGAATAACTACAAAAATATAGCATATATGCATGTACATATATAGGATATACAATAGATAATTCACTGTGAATTATTTAGGCATTTAGAAGATCTAGCTTTGACCGTTATAGACTTGAATATGCTTATACTTAAATATTTAATTTCATGTCGGTCTTAATAAAATTTTATTATTCTTTAAAGGTATTGTAGATTCTCAGCGATTCCCTAACAACGAAAATTTTACAGTGTTGAAAAAAGAATGTATAGATCACGTGCCAAAAAGTATGGGTATTCGCCTTCGCAATTTAAAAAAAAATATAAAAGGCCTCGGAGGAAAAGATAAATTGACAGGCTCATTGATTAACTGTCTGTTTATTACGGTTTAGCTATACGCCTGAATCTATAGAAAAAATGAGGAATGATATATGGGCGACAGTTTATCACAAAATGTCTACGGATAAAATGCTCACCCGGTGAAAATTCATGGTGCTCATGGCAGAGAGTGAAAGCCGCTAATACTTCGGACGATTATCAACATAAATTAGCTCTTCCGGACGAAATATTCAAAGCTATTAAACCTATATACAAGGATTTGAACAGCGATGATCTTCTTATTCGTTGCATATGTGGTTTTACGCAAAACAGCAATAAAAGTTTCAATTTGACTGGGCAATGGCTCCAAAATTAGTTTCCAGTGACAAAGTTGTACTAGATATTGCAACAAATGCTATTTGTATCTACAATGACAGCTTCTCACCAGTGATGCGCATTATGGAAGTATTAGACATAAAAATTGGATCAAACAATTTCTGTGTGGAGAGTGACGCGCGCATCAAATTTTCCAAGCGATCGCTGATTAACAAAATAAAAAAGGTTCGTCTGTTTTTGAAATCAGCCAGAAAGGAAGAAAAGAACATCAATTTAGAAGGCCAATTATATGGAGCGGACATCGCAGATTAAAGGTACATCAAAATTTTGTATGATTTTATAATAAGTAAACTTTAAATACGTTTTTCTCAAAATCATATTTTATGAACTGGCCGGAAACATATCTTGAACAGATCTTTATTAATTTACTTAAAATTTTAACTGTAGCTTCAAAATTGCATTCTCTACAGAAAGACATACGGTTTTTTTTATATTATATACTTTTTTTATATAAACAATGTTTCACCTATTTTTTACCCGTTAAATTTAACGTTTATTTCAAATTCGTACCATTTTTTCAAAAGACAGTATATTGCAATTTCCGTACGTATTTCTTTAGCTTTTGGAATGTAGATTAAATAAATTTTTGGTTCTTTGTTTTAGATCAAAAATTGCGGGAATTATCGTTTCGACCGCACAGCATTGTTCATGAGAAGACGACGTTACCATTGCAAAGATGTAGTGCCGACATTTTGTAACAAAATTACTATAATAAAATATTTTTTTACCCTTTAAAGTATGTACAATAGAGACCTGAAATACATTTTTTTATTTCTTTCATTAGATTCCCGAAAAAAATTCACAAAATTAGGCTTGTTTTTCATGCTCTATAGTGGCTTTACCCTTTAAAGCTACTTTTCCTGCTGAACTGAGCAATTTTGTTATGAATGATCGAAAAAGAACCAGAAGTATCAAAATACTAGAGAGACTATCAATTGCATCTAATGGAATTTCCCTGAAAAATACCATAGTGCCTGAATCTATATTTCAATCAAATATGTAACATTCAAATATTTAATTAAAAGTGTCTGGAAGACTCACAAATGTTTTTAATGGTACTTTATAATTCTTTATATGAACTACAAACGATTCCATGTATGAACATTGTTGAATTTAGATCCGGTTGATTATTTCGGTCAAGTACATGATGCAAAAAAGATTTGTAACGGTGCGCCTCGAAACCGCATCGTTCCCGGCCGAACATTAGCCGGATGCCGCTGTATTACATGCAGTGATGCGGGCGCGATGCGCCCGAATATTTTTTAAAACCGCAAACATAATTTCGTAGGTATCAGCTGACATTCCGTGAGAACGACCGAACGCTGCCGAGCGCTACCCGCAACAAATTTCTGTACCTTCATGCATGTGGGGATATCGCTTGGCGAGAATGTACGGACCGAACTGAGCTTCGCCGAATCCGCGTCGCTGCCAAAAATCGGTTATATAAAAGGCCTCGGATTTTTACAGAAAGGTTTTTTGCTCCGATTCCTTTCCTATCCAACGACCAGATCTCACCGACTCGATAGCAATTCTGATCCGAGCAATTTCCTGCCGCGAAATTCCGATACCGTGTTCAGGGAGTGGAGCGGGCTTCGCCTCCGCTGGGCGTTCTCAGCACTTTTGGAAGCCGACTCTCGCTATCCGCCGAGTAGACGAGACGAGGGGGTAGGGAGACCTCTGGCTCCGTTGGGCGTTCCCGATAGTCGAAAGGTACCATCCGAAATCTTATACATGACGCGATCGGCAACAAGACAGGGGGTAAAGTTTTCTTTTACCTTTGCCGTCGGTCGCGTTCACGCTTACGCTCAGATGTGTCATAGGCACATTCAAAATCGCGCTTCGCGCTGTCGCGATCGGTGTGTACCCACGTCGCGTTAGCATCTGTTTCGCGTTACCGTGCCGCGACACCAGGGCGCACCAGCGCCCGATCCCGTGTGTTCGAAATGTCCGAGTGCAACACGTGCTATCGTTATTATTTTCGTTATATTATTCATATTATTTTATTATATTCAAAGCTATTTGTTCGTATCGTGTTGTATGTAATAAAGAATATTTTTAGTTACACTTTACTACACAGTTCTATGCGTTATTTATAAGCGTCTCCTCTCTTCGCAACGAACCTCTTTCGGATTAATTTGTCCGATGAGCTATTCCGTACAACGGAAGTTAGGTTGTTTCAGATTCATTAATTATAGTTAATAGAATAACTCACGAACCTTTTTAATTGCATTTTAAAATTCTTTATACAAAATACAAACAATTTAAAATAGTAATTTTTACAACCAGAGGTTTTGTCCGGTCATTCGAATACTAAAAATCATCGAATATTGGTTTTCAAAATATTGGTTTTGTACTCAAGTACTGTCAACTTTCAGAAAAACAACAAGCGAAAAAAATTATTTATTTTTTTTCATAGTTTTGAGAATTTTTTCAGAATTTTTTAGTATAGCATTTTTTTATATTATGTCGTTAAAGATAGTTGCCAATAAGAAAATGCAGTACTAAAAAGTTAATAAAAAATTATGAAAAAATTTTTACAGCTTTATGAGAAGAAAGTAAACAATTTTTTTGCGATTTTTCTGTAAAGTTAATAGTACTCGAGTAAAAAAATGATTAATAACTAATATTTGGCGATTTTTAGTAATTCTTGCAATCTCTAGTAATTAATATCTTAAGGATTCTGACAACTCAGCCAAAAACTTTGCGTTGACAGTAGCGACACAGAATTAGACGGCGGTCTGACGAAACCGATAGTCATACATTCAAGCACGAGCCTATGTACGTGTGCTTTCGGCGCGCCGAGAGTCAATGAAACAGCGAGCTTCTTTTCACACTAGTGCTTGATTCAACCAAAAATACTTTCATGGCAATCTCGGCGGCCCCCGGCATCAATAAGGAGCGAAGAGCATTCCTATATGTATATATATTTATATATATTATATATCATATATATCATAAAACGCAACAGTTCACGAGATATTTAATTATTTACGATTTTTCATGCGCGTTATATACCTCCTTCATGGACTTCCGTTTCCGGTGAGTAACTGAAAGGTTCGCTAAACTGTTACTAACAAATAAATTGGAGTGTATTCTGCATATTTGTGCCCGCGGGCGTTACTCTGTTTCAGGACCTAGGCAAGTTAGAAAGTGCCACAAGTTCCTGTATTTTCCAC